ATGGTGAAAACAGGAATTCCACAATTTCCTTTACTTGATGTCTGTTAGTCATAAGAAAATAGCTTTGATTTTGTCCTAACTGGGTAATGCTCGTCTATACTTCTGTTGAACCCCGTATACCTGTATGTGTGTTTGTTGTAAGTGAGGTAGAATCTTCATAGGGGTACAGGGGAGTTAGCAAATGTGGCCCATCAGCTCCAATGTGGTCAGTGCATGTGGGGAACAGCTTTGCACTCATGTCTTTCCAGTTCCAATTGCACAGAAAAAGAATCTGCACCAGAAGTCAGGGAGCACCTGTTCTCTGGTTTCTTCTAGCACTCTGAAGAAGACTGCTGCTTTGCCACACCAGAAGTTTCCATCTCTGCATTCAGTGTTTGGTTTGATACTAGCTGCTCTCCTGACTTTCTTCCTTTTGTGCATACTAAGTATATGTACTACAGTATAGTAAAGGATATGCCTCAAATTCCTTTGACTCATTCATGCCTAGTCAGAAACCACATGTTCTTCAAAGGGAGTTAGACTGTGAAAAGAAACAATGTTTTTGTTCTAATGTGACTTTGAAATGTCTCTGCTTTTTCTGTGGCATTAGTATAAACCATGTGAATGTGGGAGTTGAAGATGAGTGCTGCTGCACAGATCTGAAGTTATTTTGCCTGGAGTTAATTTGTGAAGTGCTTTCAGTGGAGCGCTTGGGCTCTCTCCAGAGATTCTTTTGCATAAGCAGCAGACTAACATCTGCGTCTCATCCACAGACACAAGAGTTCTGGTAAACCTCTTTAGGTCTGAGAACCTCTGCAACTTCCACCCCCAGCCATGTTTATTGCATAAGTAAGGGAGAAAGAGCCATCACATTACAAGCATATGTGACTCTCTCAAAAGGCTGGCAAAGAATATTTCACCTTGCAGGGAGATAAGTAGGCTGGGTGAACAAGACGCTTTTTGCTCTTGGATGTGGCAGCACATTAAATCCCTGGCAACTCCTGTGTACTCAGGAGCTGAAAAGTGCTGCTTTATTACATCCTTACTTAAACATCTTGTGTTCACTAGGTGCAAAATGTGACCTAAATATGATAATTAGGTTGGTAGAATTGCAAGAAGTAACTGTAAAGATTCTCACGTTATGTGGCTGTGGTGTTGTTGAATAGTTAGCTGTGGAGATGTTAGTATTTGCAGTATTTGCTTCAAGGGAGGTGAATCTCTGCTGAATCAGTAGAATAAAGAAACACACTTATCTGCTTTGACTGTTTTTTCATGTATATAAATAAGGCAATATTCCACATCATTAACTCTACCATTTCCTACCTGCCAGCTAAAATCAGGTCTACCTGTTATGAACAGTTTAGTGTTTCTATAGGTTTTGTAGTCCCTGAAAAGTTCTAGTTAGTTCATGTTTGTATACTAACCCAACTGTGCATACTATTTACCGAATAGCACAGTATTCTTACTCTTATCGCACACCTTTTGCAGACTGGTGCTTTTGCCATGGAAGCCGAAGAAACGATGGAATGTATCCAGGAATTCCCTGAACACTATAAAGTTATTTTGGATAGACTGAATGAACAACGTGAGCGGGACCAGTTTACGGATATCACTTTGATTGTCGATGGTACGTGCAAGCCTGAGAACCAGCTGGTAAACAGAATTCTAAAAGCTGTGCAGGGAAGCTGTTGGGTATGTCACAGGTCAGCTGTCAAACTGGGCTGCTAGCGGATTTTTTGTTCTGTACCAATGTGTGAGTTGCTTGCAAAGTTCCATTTAAAATCTCAGGGTAAACAGAGTCTCCAGCAGTGATTTATAGTTTTGCTTCTACTTTTCCAAACAAGGGGCTAAATATTTTCATATAGAAGTCCACTTTGCAGTAGTGTCCCAAGGAGATACATACTAGTTACAGGGAGACATACTAAGTGACTATATGCTGATGGAATAGATCTGTAGACCGGGTGGTCTCTTTTCTGCATCTACAGTATGGGTGAGGAAGGTGTTCTCCTAAACCAAAATTTTTATCTTTCTTTATAGGTCACCACTTCAAAGCTCATAAAGCTGTTCTTGCTGCCTGTAGCCAGTTCTTCTATAAATTCTTCCAAGATTTTACGCAGGAGCCCTTGGTGGAAATTGAAGGTAATCTAATTTGTGCAAATGAAAACTTTCAGAGTTGTCTGCCCAAGCTGGAAATGAATATGGTATACTTGCTATGGGCTTAAATGCATGCTTGGTGACATTGATTAGCTTTCTAGATCTCAGCTCTTGAGTTGTTCTGAGGCAGCTACCACCACTGGAAAAAAACTTCCCCTGAAGAAAAGTAAAAAAGAAAACAGTCTTGAGTTCAATCTTTTGGAAGGGAAAGTGTGAGGTTCTGTGGGTGTTTTTTTCCTGTTTTGTTTTGTTTTTTCTTCCCCCACCAATACATGGCCACTGGAGGCTAGGCAGACCCTGTATGTTTTTAGGACTAGCAGTGTGACGTAAACTTTTCCCTGAAAACAGCCATTCTGGTCAGGTGTAAAAGGCTGCCAGTGATGGCCAATGGCAGATGCCTTGGCTGGGATGCAAGAATGGGATAGACATAGAGCAATACTTGCCTGATAAGAAGGGAGCAAAGTCCTGGAGCAATATTTCAGCCACCAGTAACTTGCTGCTCAGAGGTCTCTTGAGAGAGAGACCTCTTTATTATTCAAACAGCTTTTTGTCCATCTTATCTTTCATTTCATCTTTGTCATGGCATGACTCTGTAGTTGTTCCAGATTCACATGTTTCTGTAGTAGACTTTTTATTCCAGCGTGAGCCTCTGTCATGGAAGTGCACCAAAATGGCTATGCCCACAAGTAATGAACTCAGACAAGCTTTTAATCTCCAGCTGAAATCAAGCAGCCAAGATCTCATTCACCACCACAACAATCCACTGACATTTAACAAATACAGGTTTGATATGCTGGCTGGGAATATTGCCACACAGCTGAGTTAAGAATTCTTATGTTTTAGGCCCAAGGATCCAGAATGCACTCTCACTCCCCTAAAAAGGAAGGGGCTCAAGAAGTTACCTTAAATGGTGTCCTAACTCAAAGGGAGAGTCTCTGACTGCAGACCCGCTGGTCTGAGGAGGACCAACTCAGATGCACCATCTGACAGGGTGCCATTTATACCCTGGTCGAAGCTGATCTGTGGTCAAAACACGGTCATGTCAGCCTCCTATTGGCCAGGGACCCCAACTTTCCCGCCTTTGACCCTCAACTGTGTGGACCGGACAGGAACTGTGAGGGGGGACAGGCCTGGCACTGCCAGAGGCAAAAACTTTGTTGCTGCTTTTGTTGGGTCTTTCTCAGGTCTTTAGTGTGGTGGGTGCATCTGCCACAGCCTCTTAAGGGTGTCATCTTTGTGAAACTGACAGCTACAGTACCATGAGCAGAATGTTGAGCAGGCAAGTGTGCAACATTCACATAGACAAGATTGAGGAATTGCTAAAAGAAACTGTTGTTTTTCTTGCCTCTATACAGGTGTAAGTAACATGGCATTTCGTCACCTAATTGAGTTCACCTATACAGCAAAACTAATGGTCCAAGGTGAGGAAGAAGCAAATGATGTTTGGAAAGCAGCTGAGTATCTACAGATGTTAGAAGCAATCAAAGCACTTGAAATCAGGTAAGCATTTAAGCCTCTTTTTTGTTCCAACAGTGAAATGTAGAGTTACAAGAATCCTTTACATGAGCAGGCTGCCAGTATTTTGCAGTGCAGTTCTTTATCCTGGAGCCTCTTAAACTTACGTGGGACCATAAACTCTTCTACTGTAAGACATGGGTCAGCATTATACAGGCTGAAAAATGAGTGAACTCAATGACAAGTGACACGGATGATAAATTTTGCAGAAATTGTAGGGCTGTGACTTTGTAGTAACTAATACCAGGTCTCTGTGCTTTCTGACTGCCTACACCTGATTGACAGCTGGGTGTACGGTGATGATGTGCCTCAGGTAATTAGACAACATTAACAAGCATGTATTGGTGTTTTGATTTCATGCAACATTCTGCTATTTCTGAGAGAATAAGCAGTGACCTTAAAACTTCTTGCTGCAGAATTAACCTCTTAAAGTACTTTAATGAATGTAACTGTTATAAGCAGTTTTATGTGGCATCAATACTTAATCAAATGTTGCTGTGGCGCCTTTTATCCAGTACCAGGAACTGTGCTCCATCACCAAAGTCCAACCTGAGAAAAGCAGAAGCCAGCCCCTTCACGCTCTTTTTTTTCCCCTTCCTTCACATTCACAAAGTGCTGTCACATTCTCATTTCTTCTGCAAGCTACACTATTCTGCTGGCAGAGGGAGGAGCAATAAATGCTACTACCATTACTGTTATTCTTGCTTTCTCTTCTGGACCTGCTGAAAAGTCTTTGCTTTCAGGCTAAGGAAAAACCTTTGCTGCTTTTTTATCTCCCGGTTGGTCCATTAGGCAAGGAGAGTGGCATTGGTATCGAGTTCCTCTAATAGCCAGCTAACATTTTGCTTAAAAAAACAGTCTGTGACGTGACACATTAGAAACTTGGTTTTCAACATCAGCATTTATTTTTGAATTAACTTACTCTGTGCTTATTCTGTGGATTGGCAGTAGAGATGAATAAGTATGCAATTTTTTTTAATAGGAAAGATACGTGACTGGGCATTTCTAGTCCTACCCTCCAACCCCACAAACACCCTTTTTTGACATAATTAAGATTAAGCATGATACCACCAAAAGAATTTTGTTTTTTTAGTGCAGGAAAATACCAAACCTTAGCTGTTTGCGTGAGGAATTTAAAAGAAACTTGAAACTGAAAAAGTGTGTTGAGTCAGTGTACACTGGTAGAGCTGTTGAACCGGGATTCTGATACATCCATCAAGCTAAACTGTTCAGCTTGCAATTATTTCCCACTATTGTGTAATGTTATGCATCACTAATTGTAATTCTTATGTTACAAGAAACACAAGAAAATGTTTTGCTTAGCGATCACACATGCAAGTCAGTCCATTCTTAGAGTTATTTCTGTTGTTCACAGATTTTGAAAAGGCTTTTTTTGTAGAGGTGCGTCTGGTTTGATTTGGAGTTTTTTTGGTTAGAAAGACAGACTTGAGTACTACTGTCAGTCTCTCTTTTTTCTCCTCCACAGTAAGAGAGGGAAGAATTACAATACAGTGCCTCAGTCAGAGCTTTGACTAAAAAGGATAAACTTCAGAAACTTCAGCTGAGGTAGAGATGATTATAGAACTAACTATTGGTATAATGCATTGAAGAGTTGCACACTGCAGAATCTAGGCTAGAAAGAAAACAAGAAGATGTTATTCTTTAAAGTGCAGTTGTGCTGTATGTGTGTATCCCAGTTCTAAATCTCGCACAATGTGGTCAGTGACAGTAGTCTCCTCCTTGCTGAGCAGATAGTTCCTTTAGTTGGTGATCCTGGAGCTCCTTCCAGGAATGTGCAAAGTAACTATCAGCTTCTAGACATCAGAAATCCAGGCTAGATGAATCTGTAAGTTTAACTGCTCTGTCTTCCTGTGTCTGAATAGCGTAAGATGCAATTTAATAAGCTGTATCCTGTGTTAGATCATTAGCCATATATCCCTGATATATGACTTACAGATACTGGATGAAGCCTTATCTCTCCTACTACTAGAAAATGTGAAAGTGATGGGGAGTAGATTACATGAAAGGATTCATCAGGCTGCAAAGGAAGGTAAAAGGACAGCTTATTCCTGTCAGTCTGATTTGAGGGGAAGACAGCTACTCATTTTCAAAACTGATAATAAGGTTTAGTAAAACCTCCAGCACCTAAGTGCTGCGGATGATCCTGAGGGTATGACTTGAAAGCATTGGCCTAGTCAGCTCTGTCTGTATTTGAGATGGGATGCTATCCCTGACATCTTGGAGGAATGGGGATGTGTGTGCAGGGAGAACGGGAACAGAGCTGGGGGTTATGTTTAAGTCCAGAAAGTTAAACTAGAATACTTTTTCCAGATCTCAGTGACTTTTATTTTTACCTCGGCCATTAGCTGTGAAAGTATGAAAGGCTATCATAATGTTATATGTTATAATTGTGTGAAGTCACAGCTGTAGTGTTTTCTAACAAGCTGTAAGTGCTGCAGACAGTTGCACACACTCCAGAGCTTAAGAGGTGAATAGTGTAGAAAGGATTGGAATCTTATTCAGTCTTATAGAGATCTCCTTCCTATGGTGAAGTTGTCTTTCCAAGTACAGAATTTCACAGGTTTCTTGGGTCAACCTGTGTCATTAGGTTAACTGGCCTTTCGTCTTAATAGACGCTTTGTATCATTCAAACAGTTATTTAAAACACTTCAGTAGCCTTATGCCAAAGGCTCTGCAGCCTTCACCATTTAACTCTTTTACAGTTCTAAGGTGTATAGATTGAGGACAAATTAGTTTCTGACGTGCACACAGATTATGTGGTCATTTATCATTCAGCTTTGAGAAACAGCTAGAAAGTGTTGGATGCAGAGGCTCAGTATTAGGCAGGAATTGTTATGTCAGTGCTTATAGATATTAACCATATTTATGCAAATGCTTTACAGGAGCAAAGAAAATTCAGCACCCTTAGAATCAAATCAAGCACAAGGTAAAAATAAACCAAAAAAGAGGAAGATAGCTGAAACCTCTAATGTTATCACAGAAACACTGCCATCTGCAGAATCAGAGCCTGTTGAAATTGAGGTTGAGATTGCTGAAGGGACTATTGAGGTGGAAGATGATGGCATCGAAACACTTGAAGAAGTAGCTTCTGCAGAGCAATCCATAAAGTACATACAGGCAACGGGTACATCAGATGAATCTGCTTTGGCTCTTCTGGCAGATATCACCAGCAAGTATCGTCAGGGAGAGAGAAAATGCCAGATCCAAGAAGAAGGTGATAGTACAACTGATCCCTCATGCAAACAGGTAGAAGGTATTGAAATTGTGGAACTTCAGCTGTCACACGTGAACAATTTATTCCACTGTGAGAAATGTAACCGTTCATTTAAATTGTTTTACCATTTTAAGGAACACATGAAAACACACTCTACTGAGAGTTACAAGTGTGACATATGCAATAAAAGGTACCTACGAGAGAGTGCACTGAAACAGCACCTCACCTGTTACCACCTTGATGAAGGTGGTGCCAGCAAGAAGCAAAGACCTGGCAAAAAAATACATATATGCCAGTACTGTGATAAGCAGTTTGACCACTTCGGACACTTTAAAGAGCACCTCCGGAAGCACACAGGTAAGAGCACTGCTACAGTCCTGTCCCTATGGCTTTGGCTCTAGCATTTTGGGTTTTTGCCTGTTTTAGGGAAACAGAAAATATGCTGAAGAGAACGCATGAGTCCCAAGTGCTAGAAATACTTGGCTTCTAGTTACAGCTGAAATGGTGGTTTGTGTTTTTGTTTGTTCATTTGTTTTGTTTTCCACTGATGTAAACTTTTGAGCGATTGAGGTGGTTAAAAATAGGCACCTAAACCCAGAAAGCACTAATGAAGCTTCTCTCTCAAATTTATGAAATACTAAAAAGTTTTTCAAAAACATTTCTGGCAAGTTTCTGTCTCCGTTTAAGGGTCAGAGCGAGAGAGAGCAGGATTTTCTCTATTGCCCCTACCCCTCCCAGGGGGAGGATTAAGAAAAGGGAATAGAGAGAGAATAATAAAAAAAAAAATTGCTCTGCACAAGGTTGGAAGTTAAAACTGTAACAAGTTTAATGAAAACAACAGGGGAAAGGAAAAGGGAATTAATAAGGGACAAAGGATATTTAACTATATACAAAACCCGATGCCAGTAGTCCCGAGTGGAAGT